CTCCTTGAAGCAATGCCGCACTATCTCGTCGCCGTTGACTGGTGGGGCCTCGCCCTCTGCCTCGTCCTCCGTGACGAGGGTCGCCTTGGCCAGCGGCTCAGGCTTGGAGAAGCGGTGGGCGAGCTTCCCCCCGCCTGTGGCCGAGCCTTTGGCCCGGTCCTGCCACTGCCTCCTGGCGGCAGCTGCGTCGCTGCGCTGGCAGGCCTGCTGCTGGGCCCTAGCATGCTCGATGAGCCTCCTCCTCAAAGCCGCGTCGCTGGAGGTCGCCGCAGCTCCAAGCTCGCCCCTGGGCACGGGGGCCATGGCGCCGTCGTAGTCGCCCAGGCGCAGCGCCGCCAGGCGTGCACGCAGGCTGGCCAGGCCCTGTAGGTCCTTCCCCCGCGCCACCGGCAGGTCTGCGCGCTGCAGCAGGCTGGCCAGGCCGCCCCATGCGCGGGTCTCGTGCGAGCTGAGCTGAGCCCAGCGGCGGCGGCTGGCGTCCGCAAGCGGCACTTTGACGAAGCGCGCTCCGTCGCCCCTGTCAGTGCACTTCTGAGCCTCGTCCCCGCGTAGGTCGTAGAGTGGGAGAAGGTAGCCCTCAGCGTGCCGTAGCCACTCCTGCATGGCATCTCGCGGCCTGGGGGGGGGGGCGTGCCCCCCTCCCAAATCCAGGCAGGCAGCGGGACGCGGGGCAGACAGCCGATGGCCCGATCGAACGGCAGCCGCGCTGCCCGATGAAGTTGCTGCACCGTGGCGTCTGCTCGCAGCCCTCGCGCCTCCAACAGGACGGGGCTGCGTGGCCCGAAGGGGGCCTCGACCACGGGCCCGTGGCTGAACGCGAACTGCTGAAGCTCGTCGGAGATGACTGCGTAGTCGAGCTCGTGAAGCGCCCCCGCCCTGCAGTTCGCCGTACCTGTATGTAGCGCGAGACCTCCAGCCGTCGCCGCACACGCCGCGACCTGGAGGGGGTCCATGTTGAAGTCTCCCGCCAGGATCCACGGCCGCACCGCCACCCTGAGCTGCGACGCGACCTCCCAGAGAATGTCTGCGTTGGCCTCGCTCATGCCCTCCCCGTCGCGGAGGTAGATGGACAAGAGATCGATGGCGAGCCCGTCGCCAATGTTGACAACCCGCCGCAGCGCGCGGTGGGGCTGCTTGGAAGCGGTGTCGAGCGTGGCTGTTGCGAACCGCTGCCGCACTCCGATGCCTACCCCGCCTGAGGCTGCCTGAGGCCCGTCCCCCGTGCTGAGTCCTGCGGCAAGGTCGAAGTCGAACCCGCGCTTCCGATGCCAACGCTGGACTGCCTCCCTGCCACAAGCACGCACACGCGTCTCCTGCACGAAGGCGATGTCTGCGACTGGCAGCCTCTTCGGCCCAGCCTCCACGAGGCTGTGCTGGCTGTCGAGCCAGTCAAGGAAGTCGCATTAGCCCTTCTCGGTGTTCGCGTTGACAGTGTATAGCCACACGCTATCAAACCCGAGGCCGCTTGAGCTGGGCCTCAATGGTGTCGCTGAAGCGCTTGCGTCGCTGCTCGACGCTCTCGCCTTCTGGGGCGTCCTCCATGAGACTGTCGACAAGCTCGTCAGGGACGGGGACAGACACCCCCCCTGACCCAGCGCTGCCAGGGACACCCTCGTGTGGATCCCCGCTGCCTGGGACAGCAGCGTCATCACCATCGCCATCACCATGTGCAGCGTCGTCAGCTGCCTCCAGGGTCTCCTGCTCCTTCTTGACGACGCCCTGCAGCTGGATGAGGCCCTGCAACACTGCCTGGTTCTCCACAGCCGTAGCCTTGAACTGCTCCAGCACCTTGGCCAGGCCCCTGAGCCCGTCGCCGAGGACGCCAGCGGCACGGCGGGACTCGATCTCGGCGTCCGCCGCCTGCAGCTTGCACTTGGGCTCGGCGGCCGAATCCTTGGCCTCGCAGATCCTCTGGTCGAGCTTGCCGCGCTGGTCCTCGAACTCCGCCACCTTGGCGAGGGCCTTCTGGAGCTGGCCCTCGAGCTTCCTGCGCCGTCCCTCCAAGGCTGGGAGGCTCTTGGGCTTGGGCGGCTCTGAGTACTTGGCCTCGACGGCCTTGACGCAGCTCGTGGCCTGCTCTCCTCCTCCAAGCTTCTGCAGCTCCTCCTTGAGGTCGCTGAGTGCAGTGAGCTTGGCCTTGGCGCTGTCGGCCTTGAGTGCCTCGACTTGCTGCCGCAGGGCAGCCAGCTCGCTGTCCTGCCTCTGGAGCTTGTCGTGCTCCCAAGGGGCCAGCTTCTGCCGCGCCCATGCACCGCGGGGCTGCGGGTGGCTGCCTGGCTTGGGCCCGCCCTTGAGCGCCTCCTCGTGAGCCTTCCTGGCGGCGTCCTCGACCTTGGTGGAGCAACGCCGGTCGCACTCACGGCACCTGGGCCTGCTGGTCCAGTTGGATGCGCAGCCGCAGGAGCACAGCCACAGCGGTGACTTGGGCCCGCGGAGCACAACCGCTGCTCCCTCTGCGCCTCCACGCCCATGGCTGCCCATAGCGCGCGAGGACTGGGGCGGCAGACTTGATCGCACTGAATCGTGAAAGAGGATTTTGGCTCTGCCAGCACTCCCCCAGAGTGCTCGCAGCGCCACGACGTGACTTGCACCCGCTGGGAATGCATGGCCTTGAGCCAAAATGGCTACGGAGTCGTAGTAGTAGAAGAAGTACAAGTAGAAGTAGAAGTAGAAGTAGAAGTAAAAGTAGTAGTAGTAGTAGTAGTAGTAGTACTAGTAGTAGTAGTAGTAGTAGTAGTAGTAGTAGTAGTAGTAGTAGTAGTCGTAGTAGTAGTAGTATTAGTAGTAGTAGTAGTAACAATAGTAGTAGTACTCGTGGTAGTCATACTAGTAGTTGCTGTGGTAGGAAAAGTCGTAGTAGTAGTAGTAGTAGTAGTAGTCGTAGTGGTAGTAGTAGTGGTGGTAGTAGTAATAGTAGGAGTACTAGACGCAATACTAGCACTAGTAGTCGTAGTAGTAGTAGTAGTAGAAGAAGAAGTAGTAGTAGTAGCAGTAGTAGTCGTAGCAGTAGTAGTAGTAGTAGTAGTAGTAGTAGTAGTAGTAGTATAGTAGTAGTAGTAGTAGTAGTAGTAGTAGTAGTATAGTAGTCGTAGTCGTATTCGTAGCAGTAGTAGTAGTAGTAGTAGTAGTTGTAGTAGTAGTAGTAGTAGTAGTAGTAGTAGTAGTAGTAGTAGTAGTAGTAGTCGTAGTCGTAATAGGAGTAGTAGTAGTAGTAGTAGTAGTAATAGTAGTAGTTAGTAGTAGTAGTAGTAGTAGTAGTAGTAGTAGTAGTAGTAGTAATGGTGGTAGTGGTAGTAGTAGTAGTAGTAGCAGTAGTAGTAGTAGTAGTAGTAGTAGTATTAGTAGTAGTAGTAGTAGTAGTAGTAGTATCAGTAGTAGTAGTAGTAATAGTAGTAGTAGTAGTAGTAGTAGTCGTCGTCGTAGTAGTAAACGTAGTCGTAGGAGTAGTAATAATAATGGTTAGTAGTAGCTTGCAGCATTTAGTCGTTGTATTTGTAGGTGTTGTAGAAATTGGAAAATCCCACAGCCGAGAGTTCTATACTTTTCTTCACGCGCCTGGGCCTGGAGGCACAAGGAAATGCCAAGGAGGGGGTCAACCCTGAGGGGTCGCCAACTGCTCCAGGAAACGGCCCACCAGGACTCCCCAAGACTCGGGAAGGCATCCGAAAAATCTCCCAACCTCGTCGGTATTGAAACATGCCTCCTCCTCGACCCTCGCTCTCCAGAAAGAGCGGGTGACACATCTGGTGGTGACCCCCTCGGGCACTGCCCAGACGATCCCATGTTCTGAGGAGTCAAAATGGCGTGTTGTTTTGAATTTTCCGCGGGTGTTTTTGAAGGAGCCCTGGGACACACAAATAAATACACACAACAAAAAACATAAGACACATAAACAGCTTCAAGACACATAGATTATTTTCTGGGTGTTTGTCTTCCCCCCCACTTCCCATAGTTTCCCATATTTTCTTGGGAATCGACAGTTAATTGTGTCTGTGTGTTTGTTCCCTCCTGAATTTCGTTGAGCCCACTCGCTCGGAAAGGGCTCGAGGCCCTGACTCGCCTCGGGCGCGGGCTCACGCCAAGGTCAGGAACGGACTCTCCTGGGTGGCTGTGGCGAGGTGGACAGGCCAGCACCTGGGAACCAAGCGTTCGCCACAGCGCCACAACGCTGTAGCGCCACAAGCACTGCCCGGAAGAAATAAGTGACACCAGAGAAACAAAAAAAAAAAAACAATCATTGGATAGTGTTGGATCAAAGACATCGACCGGGAACCCGGGAACCCGGAACCCACCGAAATCGGCCCGCAACCGATCACCAGGCACCCGGGAACCCGGAACCAGGGACCCGGGAGCCCAGCGGGCCACCCAAAGCGGCGGGACACCTTCGCCAGATCTTGCAGTTTCCGCTGGGACCCCTTCAGTGCAAGCACTGACCCCAGCAGCGAGGACGCCCGCCCGCCGCTCTCGCCAGCACCCCTCGGGAGCCGCCGCCGCCGCCTGCGCGCAGGGAGCGACCCCGGGGCAGGAGCTGCCCTCGGGCTGCGCGGCGCCGGGGGCCCCGCTCGGAGCCGGCTCCACGCACGCAGACCGGCTGGCGCCGGGGGGGGGGACCCTCAGGGAGCCCACAGAGGACGTGCGCGCATGACCGCGTACGCGAACACGGCCCCCCAATCCACGAGACCGGCCGCGTGGTACGAACCTCCGCGCCATACGTGAAAGCAACGTGGACTCATGCACGTGTGCGTCCTTCTGTCGCTCCCGGAGAAGGTCACTCCGGCAAAGGGCCACTCGTACGTGTACGCTCAAAACCCCCCCCCCAAAAAAAAGGACGCGCGGTAAGGGCGCAAGACCCTTGGATGCCGAAGTTGGGATTTCTGGGGCGGCGGACGACGAAAACCTCAAGGACGCAAGAGCAAGGAAGAGCAAGGACGCAACGGCACCCTGAGCAAAGTCGCGCGTCCTTATTAGGGTTTCTGACTGCAGTCGAGAGGGGCCCGCGCCTGTTCGGCCTCCGAAGGTTCTCTGCCGAGCTTGGCCGGGTCCACCAGCGCGGCCATCTTGTGGTAGCTCTTCTTGACAACCTGCGCGCCCGCGCGAGCGCGGGGTGGTTCTGTCGGGAGGGTCTGCCTGCCCTTCCCAGTGATCTCTCGCCCCTGCCCCATCCTCCCTGACAACGCCTCCATGCCCCCCCCCCCCTCCCACCTCCGCCTTTCCTGCCAGCGTGTGCACCAGCCGATACCCCTGTGAGCGCGCCCAAACACTTGAACGGTCCCTCGAGGGCGTCCGATCCCGCATCGTCCGACAGCGCTGCTCACACGCGGCCACGAATTGTGCTTGGCCTATATTAGAGAAACCTTGAATGGCTGAAGCGTGCGCGGCTTCCGGCTCTTGACACAAACGCTATGTTTGTGAACGCGCTGAAATGAGACCGGCGCGACCCCAGCTGCGTGACAGTTTCCAATTGCATGGGCGCACTGCTTGGCATTGCGTGGCCTGTTGCTTGCCATGGCTTTGCATTGCGTGGCATTGTGTGGTCTTGCTTTGCACTGGTTGGCATTGTGTGGCATTGCCTGGCATTCCGCAACGAGGCGGCAAGGAACCAAGACCAAGGAATCAGGGAATCGAGGAACCGAGGAACCAAGACCAAGCAACCAAGGAAGCAGGCCCAAGAAACCAAGCAACCAAGGCCAAGCAAGCAAGTCAAAGGTACCAAGGAACCATGACCAAGAAACCGAGGAACCAAGACGAAGGAGCCAAGACTAACGAACCCGAGGAAGGCAGCAAAGAACCAAACTCAAGCAACCAAAGAGCCAAGACTGGAAGGCCGGCCGGCGCAATGCCCGCACCCACCAGTTCTTCAATCAAGATCAAAGCCGATCAGCAAAGCCTCATTGCGGAATAAGGGCTTGAAGCGTTTTCAGCCCACATCGCTGAGGGACGTTGCTTGCCTTCTTGTCGGTTTGACAGCGCAGATCGAACAATTATCCTGGCACTGGTCTGACCCCAACGCAAAAACAGGCCTCCAGGCCCATTGGCACAAAACCGGCAAACAAGTGCTTTTAGAACATCACAAAGAATAGGCTTGGAAACTGTGCAAGAAATATGTTTTAGTCTTAGCGTGTTTGTTATGTCGTCGGGGCCTGAACGCGCTAACACCAGGATTTCTAACGCGCCGAACTGAATGAAGACGATATACACACGCCCAAGGCATATGAAGGATGAACCAAAGACTTACGGACCAGCCATCTGGCTTGATCTTGTCCCAGAACTCTTGCCACGTCAAGGCAACGGGAACTGCAGCAACGCTGGATGAGCAGCACTCCCATGCATCTGACCGAAGCTGTCCCAAACGAGTCGAATGCGCGCGTTCAGCAAAGGGCAACCCAGAGGGGGCAGAAGCATACATGCAGCACCTTCGGATCGAATCTGTTCATGTCAGCGTCGAACATCTTAAAGAGGTCAGTGCCGTCCTCGGCATTGAAGGCGTGCAGAAGAAATCAGCTGAAGAAGAGCATGCGCAATCCTCGGGCTGGACCTGCTGCGAAATCAATCACATGGGGTGTTTTCGAAGGTTCGTAAGCGCGATAAAAGTGGGACGTATCCGCACTACGCGAATCGGCTGGTGATGCGGCACACCTGTCACTGATAGCTCAAGCGGTTCAAGTGATATGACACTAACGGGAGAAAGAACATGATCAAGGGTGTCTTCTAGTGTTCCGGCTGCAACGCGCCATTTCCAACATTAGAAAACAACTAAAAAGGCGTGAGCTGTGAATGGAAGATCGTCCCCGCATCACGTCGAAAATGACATGCATGGACGCGCAATCGATACACAGGTTGAATAATCGTCCAACGCTGAACTTGTGTACCACTTATCTTGACCCAAGCGCTACCATACCAACTAGTGTATGTCGTCCAACGTTGTGTCGCCAAAACATATGTCATAGCAGCCATAGCGGCACCGCGGAAGAAATCCGATAATTATCATCATGAGCAATCCGAACGAATCCCGAATCATACACACTGATTAAACATACGTGTACATGTAAGAAGACGTGTTGGTGCTGGTGCACACATCAATGTTGAACGATAATCTATACGACTGGCTTGCATGCGCGCATCATGGAACTGATCGGCTTAAACACGCCAAGTGCGTGACATGCACAACACATGCCCACATCCTATACGACTGAATGTGAAGTGCGCGCGCATGCAAATTGGAAACGTACCAGCTCATGGCAAAACCATCTCACACATCCTGGCAGCTATGTCCTAATAACATCAACGATCTCTTAACACACTGGAGACGCACCATTGAATAGCAGACCCCTCCTCCAGGACAACGCGGACACACTGTCCAACGTCCATATACACATGTTAACCGCGGGCCCCAAACAGTGCATTCATCTACTCTTGTAACCTATCCTGTGCACTGTATGTGACGAATGGATGTTTGTCGCAATCAAAATTCAGCTCTATTGATCGCGCAATCATCCCACCCACCTGCTCGCAACTTGGTTTGCGGCGGCGGTTGCGATGATTGCGCGGCGCTGGCTGGCGCATCGCTGCGGCCGCACTACCGCGCAAACTTGGGCGTAGAGCGGTCGGCTAGTTTGGCGCGAGCGGCGCAGCCGCAGTGGCGCTGACCGCTGGGACTTCTCGGCGCGTCTCGCCGGCTGCGTTGACTCGCGGGCACCTCAGGCCTCAGCGCGAGTCGGTGTATAGGGCGGGCGCGGTATCGTAGCCGCGTCGACAACTGCAAGTACGATGATGATAACAACGAACCTGGTGACGATGATGACGGCCGATGGCGGCGCCGATGTTGATCTCGCCGATGACGGTGATGGTGCCCACGCGTCGACGATCAACATGTTGGAAAAATCTAAATCCGCGTGGGGCCAATGGGGCCCAATGTCCAGCATGGTGTTGCGAGACAGGAGCCATGACCCCCGCACCCAACAGACGCGCAAAGGCGTTCGAATAATTTCGACGCGCGCGTACAAGATGCCCGCTTTGCCGCGTTGAACGGAAACGTTGAGAAACCTTTTTGTGTTCGCAAAAATTAGCAAAACCACACGCAGACTGTTTTTGGACAGCCGTGTTGCCAAACCAATGGTTCCTGATGTGTTCGGGAGCCTCGGCTTTGAGACCCTTACGAACCTAAGTTTTTTGTTGTGTATGTATGTATGTGTGTGTACACACATATATATACACATATATATGTGTTAATACACACACGTGTATATATATATATATATACACATATATATATAATTCGGCAATCGCGCGAGACGCCGCACGCGCGTGGACGTTGTTTCCTCTGGTGCATGGTGTTCGTGCCCCCCGAATGCGCGCAATGGCGTTCGAATACTTTCAACCTGCGCGCGCGAACGGCACGCATGGTCGCACTTGAACAAATTACTGCGAAGCGGACGGCTCAAATAAAATCCGCTAATGTTTGCCCATATATGCTTGAAAAATGACGTGGCAAAACCAATGTTCTGTATGGTACCAGGGGCCTCGATCCTAATATCGTTACGAGTTTGGTTGAAAAATGTTTAAAGGATTCCGGCAGGCGCGCGCGACGACGCGCGCCTGTGGGCTTTGTGCCACATGTTGCGAGGAGTTCTTGAAACATGGGAGTTTGTGATACACGAGCGCGCGCGCATCGCATCATCTGAAGACGATGAAGGGCGGTCAGTACTTGCTGGGCTGAGCTGATACCGAATCATGATGAAAAGCAGATGGGGCGGAAACGCGTGGAAATTGCACTATCCCCAAGGGGGGGCGCGAAGACCAGGGGAAAGGGATAGATCCTGATTTTTTCTAAGAACGGGGACCCTACGTGGTGCAATGTTGGTGGTGCGATCTCCGTGGTGCAAAAATACGTTGTGAAATCTGAGCGGTATACTCTGCGTTGTGCAATTCTCTGTGGAAGTCGCACATGTCAGCTCCACAACTCGCGCAACCGCCCCACCCACCCACGCGCAACTTGTTTTGCGGAACACATGCGGCGCTGATTGCGATGAAAGCTTGGCGTTGATTGGTGCATTTTTGTGACCGCGCTAACCCGTGCATGCTCGCGCGCGCAGCGGCCAGCTAGTTTGGCGCGACCGACGCGGCCGCGGTGGCGCTGACCGCTGGGCACTTCCCAGCGGGCACTTCGGCGGGCGAGGTGCCATGGCAACGTCGACAACGGTGGACACGATGATGATCGTAGCGACGCTGGTGGCGATGATGACAACGGCGACGGCGCAGCCAGCGACGGCGCCGATGCTGACCACGCGGGCGACGATGACGGCGCCTTCGCGTCGGAGGTGAAACTTCTGAGAAGAATTCACATGCGCGCACGGCCGGCGCGCGAGCAACCCGCATGTTACTATTTGACACGGTTCGTGGCCCCCCAGCACGCGCGCAAAGGCGTTCGGATGATGTCGACACGTGGAGCAAAAAAAAACGCTTCGCAGACTTTGATGAAAATGATGGAACGCCTATGGCTTCTCTGGAGAATTCGCAAAAGCGCGAGCGCTGTTGTCTTGAACGCAGATGTTGCACAACCATGTGATTGGATGTGTTCGGGACACACGCGCGCGCGTGCACTTCTCCCTGTTGGTTGCAACGGATTTGTGCGACAACACGCGCGCAGGGGGTTTCGAACGATTTCAATACGCGCGAGCGAAAGGCCCATGTGGTAGCATGTTACGGGAACGCGTATGCACGATGGTTTTCAGGAGAGTGTGCAAGAAGGCGCGAACACTTTTTTTGGTTTGGCACAGCTTGTTGCGAAACCCAATGATTTAATGCTTTGTCCAGGGCGCTCGATATGGTAACCCCTACAAACCCACAGGTTTGTTTAGCGGTTTCGGCATGCGCGCGCGACGACGCGCACGCGGTTTCGGCATGTCGTTTCCTAGCGTTGTTTCTTTTTAAACGGTTTCGGCATGTCGTTGTTCAAAGAATTGCTGGGAACTTAGGACTTGTAAACAACGAATGCGCGCGCGTAGTACTTTTGCACAAAAGGCTGATGGGGGGAGCGTTACTGGTCCAGCTGGCATCGTACGAATTCAAACTTAAGACGGACGATGGGGTAGAACCATAGTTAAATTACAATGCGGATTGGTGAGCGGTTGTGTCGGGGGAAGGGGGGGTAGATCCGAATACTCTTTTGGGAAAGTCAGCATTTGTGGAGCATCGTACGTGGTGTAATATTTGTTTACAAAAGGGTTGACAAATTACACGACTTGCAAACATCCCACCCACCCAACCGCAACTTGGTTTGCGAAACCCATGCGGCGCCGATTGCGATGAGTGTTTCGCGTTGGCTGGTGCATGACTGCGGCCGCGCTAGCCCGCGCATGCTTGCGCGCACAGCGGCCAACTACTTCGGTGCGACCGACGGTGCCACGGTCGGTGGCGCTGTTCGCTGGGCACTTCCCAGCGTGCACTTCAGTGCGACTCGGTGACTTTGGCGGGCGCGGTATCATGGCGACGCCGGCAACGGATCACATTATTATGAACGTAGCGGTGATGGTGACGATGGTGGCGATGGCGACGGCAAGGCCAATGACGGCGCCGACGTTGATCACGCCCACCGAAGACGATGACGATATCCTCGCGTCGGCGATGCAGGTTTTTGAAGGAGTTCGGCGTGCGACCGCCGCCGACGCGCGCGAGTTGCCCGCATGGTACTATTTGGCACGGGTCGCGCCTCCCCCCCCCACGCAAGGTTCTTCGAATGAGTTCGGCATGCGGCGCGAGAGGCCCGTTTGGCAGACTTTGATGAACGTGTTGGAACATCGATGGTTCTGTTGAGGATTCGCACGGCCGCGAGCGCAGGTTTTTGGGGAACACGGACGTTATAAAACCGTATGGTTAAATATGTGTTCGGGACACTCGTTTGTGAAATCCTGACGAAACCTGAAGTTTCTGAGGAATTCCGTCATGCGCGCGTGACGACGCGAACGTGCACCTCGTCTCATGTGTTGCGAAGTAGTATTGCAACAGCACGCGCGCAAGGGCGCCCGAACGAATTCTACATGTGCGCGCGAGAAGACAGTTTGGTAGCATGATACGAAATGTTTGTTAAAAAAACAATTGGTTTCCTCAGAATTTGCACGACCGCGAGCGCATGTGTCTTGGGGAGGCCTTTGCTGCAAAACCATGTTTTCTTATATGTTGTCGTGATTGCCGATTCTGAAATCCTTACGATACCTAAAGTTTTGTTCAAAAAAATCGTCATGACCGCGCGACGTCGCGGGCGTGTGCATGTCGTTGTAGATGTTGCAAGGGGTTTGGAAAACTCCAGACTTTTGATCAACGACTGCGCGCATATAGTATTTTCTGCAGAGGATGAAAAGGGGGGGGTCGATGCCCAGCTTGGCTTGGATGGTCTGAACTCGTATTAAGGATAGGCGATGGGGCAAGCTCATATGTAAATTACAATGTGAAAAGATGGCCCGTTGACCCCGGT